CGCGGTAAGCGGTCCACGTGGAGATTTCCTCATGGCGCGATCTCATCTTGTCTGCTGCCAACTTTGGCAGGGACGGAATGTAGTTTTCCGCCCTGTTGCTGCGCAAGCCTGTGTCCACATCCATCTTCACAACACCATCAGAGTCAACTCTGATGGCACCCAGGCTTCCAAGAGCTTCAGCGGGCGTCCCTTGGGACGAACTTGCAGCAACAGGAGCTGCACTTGCGGCCGAACTTGCAGCGTTTGCACTCGCAACGGCGAGCGTCTTCACCATCTCGGTGAGCTGCGAAATCTGGCCCTGCTGAGCTCGGATCTGTTCATCCTGGGCTTGCAACATCTGCCTGAAAAGGTTGACAGTGTTGTCTTCTGGACTAGGCACAGATGCCTGCTGAGGATTCCCTCCTCCGTGAGGGAAAGTCGGTTGCGTTCCAAACTGAGGCTGCTGCTGCTGCTGAAAACCCTGCTGCAACGGAACCTGTTGAGGTACCTGTGGAAAAGGCACCTGAGGCACTTGACCTGCACTCACAAGAGGTCTGGGTCTACTCACAGGCCGGTGTGCTGTCGGACTGTTCCGAGCAGGGAGGGACCTTCCACGAGTCCGCGAGCCAGGTGCACTTCGAGGGGTTGAAGGAAAGCCAGAAGAAACTCCACTGGCACGACTAGCACTCCGCCCCGAACTCCGTCCTCTTGGGGAACGGTCGCGGCTAGGCTCGGCTCGTGGGTCCATGGCTCTGAGGAGCAACCTTGAGCTCCGCTACCACGTTAAAACCCAAACGCGCCTTGAGGCACACTTCTAGGTTTAGTAAAAGGAGGTGCAAGCCGACTGACTGACTACGTCACGCAAGGCTACAGCAGTGAAAGCTAACAGCACTTTTACACCTTTCGTCGCAACCAACTGTTCACCACGCGCTTGTCACGCAGTGCAAGTCTTGAGCCAAGTGAAACGGGGCGCGGACAGAGACTTCAGCACACTCACTTCCGAGGTAAGTCCTAAGGACTCCTAACGGCTTCTCTGCACTGGCAACTCTGCTACACGGCCCAGGTGTTCCCCGGACTTCGTCTAGAAGTCCGCTCTCACAGCAAACAAACTGACAACACTCTGATGTCCATTATGCTTCAGGAAAGTTCAGGGAAACACCATTCTTCGTGAAAACTCGTGAGGAAAACTCCGGTTGGACACGCTTCTGACACTGATAACTTTCACCGCAAGGTGAGACAGGAAGCGTGAGCGCAGCGACCGACAGACAGACAACTTTCCCAACTCCTACCGTTCACAGCTACACCCAAGGTTCTCTAAAACTCACGAAGGAGTGAAAACAGAAAGTGTTCCTGACCTTGGCGAGAACAGGGGCACCATTATAGGATCAAAAATCCACTTTCCTCAAAGCAACTTTCAACAGGCTCTGGATCATGAACTTCCTTGACTTCGGGCGGCTCGACACTTAGTTGCTCCTGCACCTGGGTCTGCACCTTCTCCAGGCTGTCCTCCGCCTTGATGGCCTTGGAAACGTCTGCCAATTCTTTGATGGCTTTTTCGAACTGGTTTTAGTCTGGTTAGCTTGCGCTTGCAGCCGCACTTTGCGCTCTACCAGGTTCCTGTGATCCTAGGTGATCGATTTGTACGCCGAAAGGTACTTCTGCAGCGTGACCCTTTGGATCATCACTCTTGTCCTCTTCCAGTGGGCTCCTTGCCACACTCGAAGGACCTTCTGGGCTAATGTGCTCTCGATGATCGGCTTGGATGGCTGAACCTGGGCTTTGAGCTCTTGATCATAATTCAAGCTCTTTTGCTGAGTGTCCTGGATGCATGTTCATTGCGAAATCACATTTTTCACGTTGCTTAAGTGTGGCAAAGCTGTTGGGTGTGAATTCTGATGTTTTTTTTCACGTGGCTTCACGTGTTGGATCCTAGCTGCCATTTCGCAGTACATAGTTTTGTGCTGGAGCGCAATGGGAAAGAAGACTGCGGCAGACCGCCGGAAGTGGCTGCTGTTATGGCTATGCTTCATAGCAAGGGATTGCTAAAGCGTGATCCAGACGCCCCGGAAGCAGTCTAAGACAGCTAAAGCTACGGCGAAAGAGGAGCCCCAGGTTGAGATCCGAGCCCGGAGCAAGCGCAAACTCGCCGAAGCCCAAGCAGAAGCTGAGAAGTGGCAGCCAACGCGCAGCGAAGAAGCAGGTGGACTGTCCGCCAGGACTGGGATGGACCCCTGCTCAGATGATTCCCCAGGAGTTTGGATGCCGTTGCCAGTTTGTGGCAGGATGCAGACCCGCAAGCCTGGATTCCAGCAGGAGATGCAGATGGATGTGAATTCGGGGTTCTTGTACTCCTATTATACATAATAAGCCAGAATGCAAGGAATTTGATTTGGAGATATACACAAATACCTCGATTGTTTTTGCCTCGGATCGGAATCAATGGGGAAGGGTACATATCGTAATTCAAACTAAGCCACATCAGGCCAAAGATCCCCCAATCCATTAATGCCCTGCTCCGACAAGCACTCCTGCACGAAGAGCTCATAATCGGTTTTCCGTAGATCATCAGCTCCCAATCCCGGAAGGCGGTTCTCAGGAACAAAGGGCTTCTGAGATAGTCGAGGCTATGGAATTAACTACAATTGTGTCACATATTGCACCCGTACAATGTAGCTGCACTAATAACACCGACAGGTGCATGAAGGCACCATTCAGGAACTCACCAAAGTTCCTCGTGTAGCTCCTTGGCTCAGAAGCTGTTTTGCGCACGCAATCCGTGTTTCCAACGGTCTAGGCCTGAGCGGGCCTAGCTAGCATGTAATTATTGGTCGAGGATCTGAGAGGCTTTCAGTTCAGCTCTTTTGCCAATTCGTCGCTGTACTCCCAGTGAGTCCTTGGTGGCACAACGGCTGGAGTGTCGACATCTTACCTGGCGTCATTCGATCAGCTCGGTCCATCACGGCTTGAATCAACTTTGGTTCGTTGCTCCAGAGTGTATGTCGCTTCGCTGATGGCCCATCAACATACCCATCCAGAAGCCTCCAGTCCAGACCCAGCTTGAAAGCTTGATTGTTGATTTGATTGCATGACCCATGATTAAGAAACCCATGGCCTTGAGGGAGCTCAACAACTGTTGAAATCGAGGCATAGCGGACAGGAAAGACCGACAAGGTTGCTCCACCACCCATCGAAGACCCCGAAGTTGGCACACGAAGATCAGCAAAATCACTCTGCTTGAAAGCACATTGTTTTCAGAGACAAATGGAAATTCTTCATTTCCATAGGGTCGAAATATTGACCGTCCAGACGTATGACGGCACCTGAGATGCAAGAGTTCGGTAGCTCTGATTACAATGCATGGCAATATGACTCAAGCCCCCATCGGAAATTGCAATCGATATGCATGGTGCTGACGCTCCTGCAGTCCAGTGCCATAAGTACCAAACCGCCCCGGCAGCGTAGGATTTCCAGGAGGGCCAGACTTAGATAAGCCGGGAAGAATCGTGTGTTGTGTAATACTGATATATAGAAGCATAGGTGGTTTACTTTGGGATCTCATGTAATGAGTATATAGCATCAGTTATATAATGATGAGACTATAGAGTTAGTCTAGTATGGTTCGGATTTCCATATTGCTAGAAGTACTTAAGGTGATAGCTGAGGGAAACAAATAAATACATATATATGTATATATACACATATCATACATGAAGAATGGTTTGTTCGACATTACGACGATGCATGGAAGGTACGGCTGCAGTGCTAGTACAGTTTTATGTTCTCGCAGAAGGATATGTTCTTAATCTTTCGATCATACCCACATACGATGCTATACTCTAGACCGTGGAATAACCACTGTGACATACAAAGTCCTCAGTATTTTGGTGTTGAACTATCGCCTATCGCAGCACTGCTATACCGCTATACCACATAATGAATGTTGCGATCCTCCTGTGCATGCTATGGGTGGCCAACCCTTGACGATCAAACTTGACGGGAATTGGAGTAGTTTTCAACTAGCAAACAGCGCACCTCCGCTAAGCGTCACAGATAGCGCTATTGCCCCTTCCGCAAGGATGCCTGAGGCTGGATCCTCCGGGGAATCATTTTGTGGCTAGAACTAATCATTCCTGTTGTCAAAAAGCAAGCAGCAAGATTAAGAAAACCGGCAGCTAGAACTATAATCATTCCAGTTTTTCAAAAAGCAAAATTAATAATTGCAACACATGCAGCCAAAAGCCGGCCGGCTTCAGGAAATCCATCGTCTGCGGATCCAGCTCGATGTCGAGGGAGGTGCCGCGGAGTCCTGCCTGGGCTAAGTGGGGTTTTTCGAGCCGCGGGCATAGGTTAGTAACCCCAACAGTCGTTTTAGTTCGATCGAGTTGCACGGCGTAGTGCATGAGATACCTCCATCTTACCACAAAACAGCTCGACGAAGTCCCGGTCCTCCCAAAGTTTAAGTTGGCAGCACACATACACATACAAATGTGCTAAATTTCTACTGGTTATGGTCCTGAACACACGGCGCTTTTGGGTACCACATCAGCAGGATGACCATAAGCAAAAGGACAGGCGGGGCCCGCATCGCGAGCAGCTCAGACACAACCATGGTCACAGCTATAATAGGGGCCCCTCAGTATATCACCGGCTCCCCAGGCTAAGCTCAAGTCTAGATCCATGAAGCACACGCAGTACAGAGCAAGCTCGAATTGAAGCACATGTCGCTTGCAACACAGAATCCCTTGCGATCTCCGGACATGCATTGCTCACTCTCTCTCTCACGACAGTCTTTCACAGCCACAGTGCGATTTCCCGTTAAGAGCCCATTGCATGCGACAACACGTATTAAACGTGCCCACCTGCAGCAGAAGCCCATAATTATTAGGGTGCATGGCAGCCCAGGCCTGCAATCGAAACCATGACAACAAGTTGTATGATCCTGTGCTACGAGGCTTCAATGTATCTGTATGCAGTATGTAGCTACGTACAGGCCATGGCAAAAGCGCATGTTTCATCGAAAATCATGCCCCGCCCACTGCAGCAAGCTTCGCCTGCTTGACGATCTTGACAAAAGGGTTTTCGGTGGCTTCTTTGGGAACGAACTTCCTTTTCTTAAGCTCCCGTAAGCTCACACCAGCCAGCAGCCTAGCCTTCTGAAGCGACGAGTTCCACATATTAGCTGCCTCCTTGTTGCCATGCTGTGGAGCGTGTGTAGCGATGTACGTTAGTCGCTTCTCACCATAGAGGTTGGGCACGTACTGATCGATTAAGTCCGGGTCCAGCTCCTCCGTCTCGGGCCCCGTTTCTTCGAAACCTGCCTTGCTCTCGGGCCCCGTTTCTTCGGAACCTGCCTTGCTCTCGGGCCCCGTTTCTTTGGAACCTGCCTTGCTCTTGGGCCCCGCTTTTTTGGAACCTGCCTTGCTCTTCGGCTTCGTAGCTTTCTTGTTCCCCGCTTTGTTGGGCTTGGGTTCATGATCCTCAGGCGGCTCGTGAATGCCATCCACATCCTCAGCGTCGAAGGCCCCTGCATACTGGCTGGATAAGGGGAACCCTTTCGAAGGTTCAGGCAGCCACGTGGCGAGGTCAGCGAAAACCTGAGATGCAATCGATCGCTGTCTAAATGTCTAGATCTAGGTGTTTCTCGGATCATGTATGAACCATATGCACTGTAATGGCAGCTGAGAAACCCGGGAAGGCAGGATCTTTTCGGGCTTGTTGCCGGAGGGGATATGAGCAGGCTGAGCAGGCTCCGAATCGGTTTTCGCAGCAAAGTCAAACAAGCTTGCCGAAGTCGAGACGCTGGACCCGACACTCGGACCCGCCGAGTCCTTGCTCAGCAAACGAAGACCCTGAAGCTGCGAAGCCAAGCGACTCACCTCAGAATCACGGACCTACAGGCAGCTCGACAGCGTACCCGACGAGGAGGAGCCGCTGGACCCCGAAGTCAAAGACAGGGTTTCAAAGGAAAGCATCCGAAGCCCCGGTGCAGGTGCAGCAGGCACACCATCATTCGAGTCGTCATCGTCATGATCTTTGTCACCCTTGTCCTTGCACACCTTAGGTTTAGATGCAGTACATGTTGCCATGCAATCGTACCAATGCATCATGCACTCAATGAGAATGTGGATTGATAAAAGACAAGTGACCAAGCTAGCTATTCCCAATGTAGCGATCCGCTTTCTCAAAGGGTTCAGCTTGCGGTCCTTGGAAGTCCTGGCCCTCTTGCAAATCCGCCGGGTGCGGCCAACCTGAGCTGGCACACGACACTTCACTAGCCACTAGTCTTTTCCTGAAACCACATGCACTGAACGAATGGCACGATATCAATAAGCAAAGCCACTAGCCTCTTCAAGGCATTGCCATGCTTCAAAGCCCAGGTTTGGGCACACTCAGCATCTGCACATAGCCCAGCCGGAAACAAGTGGTTATTGGTGTAGAACTTAAGGATCGCATCCCGAAGCATGTAGGCACTCAATCGGCTCGCCCCATTCGTAGCCTTGACCACTGCAAAGATTGCCTCAGAATCATGGCGTTCCCCAACGTCTAAATGTTTAGAATGGAAATGGACTATGCACAGACTCCTATGCAATCCAAGTACATCTTGATTGCATCGAACATCCTTCAAGCTCGGCTTCTTCGTGAAGAGCTTGCCCGAGTGGTCACCAAGGAAGCCAAGCCCCACCTGCCGGGTCTATGGTTTGTCCAGGTGTTTGTGTGTGTGTGTGTGCGTCTGATGAAACTAGCAGCTCTACTTAAGCTAAGTGTGTGCGCTTGTGTGTTCGTGTGTGTACGTGTATATGCATGCATGAACGAGTGTTTGAATCTTTGGTGGAATCATTGCATGATTGTACATAAGTATATTTGTATATGATGTATGTATGTATGCATGTGTGTATACGTAATTATGTATATATGTACGTATGTTTGTATGCATGTATGCATGTGTGCTTTGAAGTATGTATGCTATTGGTGCATGCGTACATGCTGGCATGCATGTGCGTACATGCTGTTTCTGTGCAAGAGTATATTCATTGCATGTACTGCATGCACAAGTACCGCTTAATGCGATACAAACCGCTGAAATCAAGGGGTGATCATGAAGCTAGCCGTGGGAACGTAGGATCGAGCGAGCCTCCTTCAGCCGTGGCTCCTTCGCGAAGGCGGCCGCCACAGCTTCCACCATTTTTGTCGAGGTCATCTTAAGCTTAAGCAGCAGTGCGGGTAAGTCGGGCTTGAAGAATCAAGTACCTCTTCTTTCCTCCAGTGGATGGTTCTATTGGTGTTTGCTAAATGCTACAGAACCCTACACTCCGGCAGACAGCACAAACCCTGGGCCCGGCTGCACAAGTCCCAATCTGAAGCGATGGCCACATGCAGTGCATCACCGAACTTGAATGTCAGAGCACTTCACAGAACTGAACAGCACAAATGGGGCTGGGAAGCACCTTGTGGCAACGATGTAGCGAGGTCCATGAGGGTCGCCATCAGGCCGTACCTGTCGCGATAGAGCCCACGTCTTTGATTCCCAAATGGTTATGTTCTATGATCTCAGAACATAGATCATTGCATATTTGCGGGAATATTATAAGTTCCGTCGGGTTTGGGCCTGCACTGGGGAGCCTAGGTACATAAACCTGTTGAGATAGGGCGTACCGAGATAGAGTATATTGGAAATTACAGTCCAATGCAAGATCCAAACTTTGAGTATGGTTGTCGGGATGTAAATGATAGGAAGGTTTTGGGTGTTGGAGGCTCCAGGCTTATTAGCTTGAAGCCGTGAAGACCATCTTTCGTCTTGGGGTGTATGTTGTATAACCCCCGAGCCCGAAAGTTTACATCCTGGAGCTCCAGGACGCCCTGCATGTAGCCGCCGACACCCCCCCCCCCAAATGTAGCCCCAAGTCAAAGGCCCTATTGAAAAATTATCCTAAGCCTGGAAACCCTGAGCTTCAATTCAAGACAAACCCGGTACTAGCTAATTTCCCCACTGGGGCACGTCCACCCACTGCAGGCTCACTGCCCGGCCATTCGATCACCGCCGAGCTCGACGGCACACAGTATGTCTACGTTAAGGTTTGTTGTTCTACGTTAGGGTTCGGGGTTTAGGGTTAACGTAGGGTTATTCTTAATTATGGGGGTACGGTATATAAGCGACGACATCTTATCTTTGTAAGAACCTGATCGATGCAGCACTGGACGGGCTGCAAGTTCGTGCATATGTGCACAGAGGTACGTGTGCATGCATGCATCCATAACTAAATCCACATATGTCACATATACATGCATATACATACACGAACATACAAACATGTATACATGGGATGAATATATACCATGCAATACTATATTAAGTCCCCCATAAGTACACATAGAGCAGGAGAGCTCCAAAAGCGCATGCTGGTGAAGTACCTATCATAGAGCACATATGTCTGTATGACGTGCTGATTTGGCTGAAGAGGCAGGATCGCTGAGCCTCCTGTGGCCTTGCGGTCGGACGATCGCACAATCAAATACAAGAATCGACAACAGGCAAAGGGTTAATTGCCAGCTTTGGATCATGATCCCATGCAATCGGTCGCAATGCATGAATCTGAAATACGTGGCCGACATCCGAAATCGAAAGGGGCCAATAAGCCTTGATCACTAGCTGCATTTGTTCAGTCGGCAACATTCGTTGCCCCCATTGGATATCGGCAACATTCGTTGCCCCCACTGGAATATATGAGTGAGAGAGCTCGAGAGAGAGCTCGAGAGAGAGTTAGATATATAATGTATGCGAACGGACTGCGATGCCTTGTCAAGTTCTAAGGTGTCACTATAAGAGCTGTGAGCAAGACCGTGTAAAGTGCAAGAGAAGGGGGCACGCTACGCGTCCCTCGACTCTAAGGGGGCATGCTACGCATCCCTCATCTTTACCTTTCTATGTGACCGCCACGCAACGTTTGGCTCAAGTCAATGCCCATAGCTAAGTGCTATATGTGTCTTCTATCCTGAGCAATCAGAGCTATCCCGTTGCACAGACGAACCGCCGCCGGCAGTGAGTGCAAAAGGAACGGCCGCCGGTTCTGCCTGCATAGGATTGCACGTGTGGAAGTAAGAGGGAGAGACAGGGTCCAGTCTGTGGAGAGTGCAAGCCAGCCACACCTACATTCATTACAGCTCTGGTGGGGAGAGCAGCAACCAAGTCGAGATCAATCCCCCACGCAGGTTATCAGCCGTACGCGGCTCTGCCTTTCTACAGCAACGACTACTTGATCTACTACGACCACAATGAACTCGGGATCAAGCCAAGATACGACAATGACTTTCGGTGCCGATGTGGCAGCGCCAGCCGTTGGTGAGTCAACAGCTGATGACACAGTGGTGCAATCCGTTGATAGCTCCACGGAAGATGACAAAGGTCAATCTTCTGCGCTTGCCATTGCAAAGGCAGTTCCCAAGGGGAAAGCAAAGAGTCTACCAAGAGCATCTACGCCTTCGCGTCCGACATCCACAGGTTCGAGGACGGGCAAGGCTTCAGAACGACGGGCCGAAGCGTCTGGTTTTCAGGCACCTCGGACTACGTCCAGGGCCAAGGACAAAGGAGTGAAGACCTTGGAAAAGAAGTCAAGACCATCATCTTCGAGAAGCTCTTCAGCACGATCGAGGACTTCGGCTACTCGTGGGCGTGACAAATCCATGACTTGGAATCGGATGGTTACCAATCAACCACGTGATGCTGACGATCTGGATATGACTCTGGACACTATCCCAGCACGTGGTGATGCGTCATCGGTGACCACGCCAGCCATAGCCGATGGTCCGAATGCCTATCAGGAACTGACGATTTCGCAACAGCTCGAAGCATCTAACCTTGCGCAGCAGATGTACTATCGCAGTCAGATGCAAGAATACGAAGGAGTTGTTCAGACCCTGATGGACAAGATCAAGGAGATGCAACAAGAAGATGAAGGATCTGGAATTCGCATTGAAGAATTGGAACGACAACGTGACCATGCATGCTTAGCCATGAGGCACATCAACAATGTCAATCAGGAGATGAAGCGAGACTATGAAACAGCTTTGTTTCGCATGGATGAACAGAACTCTGCTCAACAACGTCAAGCACATGCCGTTGCCGAGGAGTTAGCTCAACAGCTACACGTGTTCCGCACGGAGGCAGCCACTAACTTTGTGCAGTTGGAGGCAAGAGCGCAAGGCGATGGTGAGCTTATGGCACGTGAGTATGAGCGTCTGACTCATGAACTTCATGAACACGCCAGAGAGAACTTGGTCCTCCGGTCAAACACAGCAAGTTCGGAACAAGCCTTACAAGCAATGCAGGAACGATTCCACTTGGTCAAGAACCAGGAGTTGCGGGCCGTGAACGAGATTCAAGCGCTAGCTGGAAACAGCGCAGCCATTGATCAAGAACGATTTCGGCTTCGCGAACGTCTTGGTGAAGAGGAAGAGTACCGCAAAATGGCTGTGAAGAGGATGCAAGAAGCAGAGGACCGACTTCATCAGAATGAAGATCATGCAAGGCGATCATTGCCTACCTTGCACGACGAGCTGAGTGAACTCAGGAAAACGCTCAAAGCACAAGAAGATCTTCAAGCGAGGACACGCAGCGAATTGGAGGCAGCGCGAAACTCCAATTACGGAGGAGCGACACGGCCTTCAAGCATGCCCATGTCTTCGAGGACTACTGAGTCTGGCTGGGAGCACGTAGGAAAGGAAGTAGTGCCTGCATTTTCCGTAGGAGGTGAGGTACGATCCCCTGAAATACGGTCCCCAAGTCAAGTTAGTCCAGTCGCCAAAGAGAAGTTCGCATTCTCGGAATCGGACAAGGACAAGAACCTTGTGATGGATGGAATTCCATTCACCGGTGGAAACTTCTTCACTGGCCGCAGTTCAATGCCAATCGTGGCGGATGCAATGCCCGAGCACTACGTGCCAGGTATTAGCAGCCCAGCACTTGCGCGTTCCACGCCTAGTGCAGCCACTTTGTTCGGCATACCAAGCGGATTTCATGGGAAAAGTGATGCGGCAGCCGTGCGTGATCGACAGCTACGCGAACTCTTGGAGGATCGCGGGATGTTGGGATCGAAGTCCACAGCATCTGCCAGCTCCTCAAGACCTGTTGGTGTCGACGGTATCACCGCATCTACGAAGGGCAACGACCTCATCGGTCCCCCTATTGCCTATGACGATTCCATTCATGAAGCAAGGAGACGTCAGATCGAGAAAGAGGTCGCGGAACGGTACGAGGAGAAGATTGCCGATCTGCGAAGCGAAGTACTCAAGGCCCAGAAAGCCGAACAACGTCTCAGAGCTGATCGTGATGAGTGGAAGTTATTCGCTGAAACGATTCAGGAGGATAATGGAGACGATGACGGTGACGAGGCTGGCGACGAGAACGAAGATGGAGAGCACGATGAAGGAACCGGCACGGGGTATGACCCTCCTGACCCGCCTGACGATGATGATGATAAGAAGAAAAGCGGTGGAGGCAAACCTGAATCGGATCCTGGCTCGCATGCGCGTGATCCTGATGGAGACGCGGATCCTGAAGTCACAGAGGTGAGAATTTCCAGGAGGGAAGCCGACAAAGTGACCGTTCCTCCATGGCCTACTCTCACTCATCTCAACAACTGGCGATCCGTGTGCACGGCCAATGTCTTAGGAGCATCAGCCGACCCACATCATGAGGACTGGATGTTATGGCTGGCACCAGCGTTCAACCCATTCCCTGATGTCGAAGCATTGAATGATTCAGGACACAAGAAGTTCAAGAGCATAGACGTCAAATTGGGGATCGCCATGGTCGCAATGCTACGTGCCGGTGGTGACAAATCAGCTGACCTGTACCTTGAGGTGAACCGGAAGGCTAACGATTACATCAGCAGGCCCGACGGGAAGATCATCAAAGGACGACAAATCATTGCGATGATGTATGAAAGCTTTCGAACGCACGATCGTCTCGACATGATCATCACTCTTGAGTATTTGGTGAAGCTCCAGTACCAAGGCGACAACAAGCTTCATACGTTCAAGCAGACGTGGTTGGAAGTTCTGGGACGGATGAGACCAGAGGACATTCCATCCAAAACAGCTCTCCGTGATTGCTTGTACAGCAAGATCAAGGACTCGCCCGCAATGAAGATGGAGTTGGGCATGCATTACGAACACTTGCCCTACAAT